CCCGGCAGCGCTGCTCCGCACCCGCGGTCACTGCCCGGAAGCGGCCCGCGCCGCGTCACCGGCGGCTCTCCCGCCTCAGCCAATCGCACCACTCCGTGCGCCGGAGGGGTGAGGCCCAAGCCACTGCTCTCCCTATTCCCTGGCGGGGGCGTGGCCATCCCGCCCCTCACCTACCTACGGCAGGGGGCAGGGGCCCTTCCAAAAAGCGTTGCTGATATTCTCAGTGGCGCTAGAAGAGTGGGGAATGGACGGGCTGAGCTAGGTCGGCGCCCACGGCGCATGCGCAGGACGAAGCCTCCGGAGCGTTTCGCCCTGCGCCCACCCCGCCCACGGGAAGCGCAGAGCGCCCCGGCCCGGCTCCCGGCGGGGAGTGTCGCGTCTTGTCGCTGCCGCCCCACGGGGGCTGCGCCCGGACCCCTGCCTCGCCTCCTCCAGCCCGGCGCCTCGCGAGACCCCTCGCCTCTGGCCTAAGCCTGGGCCCCGGGCGGGCGCAGCCCGGCCGCGTGCGCGGGGAGGGCTCCCGCGGCGCAGAGGTGGGCGCGGGGGCCTGGAGTCACGTGCAGGGTCACGCAGCACGTCCCACGCGGGCCCGTCCCCCTGCAGCCGCCCGGCGCCTCGCGCGATGCCCGCGGCAGTTGGGACGGTGGGGGAGCAAGACCCGTTTAGACCCGACGGCACCTTGGCAAATGCAGGTGCTTCGTGTTCCCTGGGGTTCGGAGTACGGAAAAGTAACAGCGAGCCTCATGTTGGCGAGGCCCGGCAGCGCGGGCGGCTTCGCACCCTGGCTTCCTCCGGGAAGCCTCCGGGTTTACCTTAGGAGTCACGTTCGCACATCGGCAAGTGCCAGCCTGGCTGTACCGACATTGAGGAAAGTGGGTGCTAACTTGAATATTATGGGGGTCATTTTGAGAAGCACACATTGGAATTTGGCCGAGGTGCCCTGTTTTACATGCCAAATTTGATACAAAGCACAAGCAGACAATTTTCCTGTCGTGCATCTTCCAGATGATGACAACTCTCCAACACCAGCATCACCTACCCAGGCCTGATTGGCTTAAGGGCCACACCAGCAGTCAGTGTTAACTGGAAAGCCATCAAAATGTAAACAGCCCTGGGTGAACTGTGGCAAATGCTCCAATACAAAAGATAAAAAACCCCATAATATGCTATAATATACTATATGAGGGTGTGATGGTAAATTTCCAGTATAGTGGCATTAGTATATGTATGGCCTTCTGGACGTATTTCACTAAAACAGGTGACCTAGATATTGCATACTGACCAGGATTCAGCCTTTTTGTGTGACCTTGGACAGGACAATGTAAAAGGGAAGTAGCTTTTTCCCTAGTACACTGGGATATTGTAAGAATAGCATCCAATAATTACTGGAGAGGATCAGATTCTATGGTAATGAGGGTCAAATAAATAGACTTTTCAGAGGCAATGCCTCTCAGTTTATTCCTATTACAGAATCCCATATTGATATCAGAGTGTATTGTCTTTTAGATGAATGTTGCTTGAAAGAGCACATTTTTAATGAGAGAAAATATTTTTCAGTAGCCTGTTAGATACAGGTGGTAGGATTTGAGGCATATAAAATGGGACAGCCTTTAAAATGGGAAACAGATTTAGGCAAAGTTTTCTAACCTTATCTTAGTTCATTCAGACATGCTGAAGCCTTCTGTGGCCTGTAAGGCAAATTCTTACTCTACCAATAATTCTCTTGGCAGGACCTATAATTAAACAACTCCAATATGAATCACACCTTAATGTTTTACTCATTATTATACTATAGTCTTGCCTTATGAAAACTGCAGCATTAAGCCTAAATCAGTTGCATTCCTCAGGAAAAAATCACTTGGAAATCATTTTAACAGCTCCCAGATAAATAAATATTAAACAGTTCCCAGCTCATGTGTGGTTATACTTGATTCAACTAAAATTCCTTTTTTAGTAGGTGGTCTACTATTTTGCTACTCTTCAGTTGGTCTAATAAAAGATATTGCCTCTACCACAAGAGTTTTGTTTGCCTATATCATACAGGCATAAAAGAGTCTGCTAGATGAAGGTGTGTAACAAACCTATGCCTGAGCTGAAAGTAACTTCTAACTACCAAATCTAGACTTTCACAGTTGAGATTTGTCTTGATTAGGAAAAATGCCCAATTTTAAATCAGGTTTAATTAGGGTGTGCTCACTAAATATGACCTGATTTGACTTTCTATGTACATAAATAGTGTCATTGAGCTAGAGGATATTACCCTCCATCTACTCTAGGAAAAAGGGCAAATTAGGTCAGGATGAACAAGTCAACTAGACTTCATCCAAACACAACCATTTTTCCCAGGCAAGAGAGAAGTGTTTCTCTGGAACCTTAATCCAGATATGAAGCTTTAGGAGCATGTTGGGAACTAGTCAGACCTTGAAGCATCTTGGCAAAATATCTGTCTAACTAATCATGTTTTAGTGACCAAAGAGGGCAGCTGAATTAGTTCAGACTGTTTCCATTGCAGTCCGTTATGGTTATTAAAATAATCCCAATGAATCCTTGGATTCATCATTTCACAGAAGCTAAACAATGGAGTGCTTGCCACAGTAGAGGCACGGATCTTTTATACTTGCCTTTAGGTACTTAGAAGAGTATATAACACATTTACAAACCAGGTAGTTGGAGAAAGATAAAAACTGTCTATAACTTTCTATCTATCTATCTGATCATCATAGTATCTGAGTATCTCACAGGTATTAATGCGTTCATCCTCTCATGACTCCTGTAAAGTAGGAGGGGATTATTATTCTCACTTGTTACAGAAAGGGAGCTAAAGCTGAGAAGGATTAAATAACTTTTCCAAGGTCGCACAGAAGGTTTGTGACAAGGCCAGGTATTGAATGTATATCCTGAGTGCCAGTCTGCTGTTTCATTTGGAAAATTATATCTTCTGATTTTAGCATGGGTACCAACTAAATACTTAGAACAAGGGCTCAGTCCTCCAAAGCATGTAGGACATCTTTACATGTGCTCCAGGGGTGGGACCATGCTTTAATTAAAAAGCACCACCGGGTCTCCTGTATCAGCATCCCCATGCTTAAAAATGGTAGTGGAGGTGCATAAGTTCAAGTGCCTCGAACACCATTTTTAAGCATGGGGACACTGATACACAAGACAGAGGAGACTGCTGGAGCACAGTAATTGCCACATTCTGACAGACTCAATTAATTGAATCTGCTCCCATTCACTGGAATTCCAGTGCATAGGAGCAGCTTCCACACTCGTGTATAGGCACCTGTAGTATCTAATTCTCATTGGGTATGTCTACATGTGCACTTTAATGTGTAGTAGCCTATTTTACTGTGCATTAAGCATCACCTATAAAGCATGCACTTGGACTACTGCACTTTAGGGCAGCCTAATGCACTTTAATTTAGTACCTCATGTTGCAGGTACTAAATTCAATGCTTATTAGGAAAAGTGCATTAATGAATATGTAGACGTGCCCTTTGACTTCAAAAGGAGCTAGGCATCTTGGCAATCTAATACCTAACAAGGTTGGATAGTCTTAGGCTTAACTTAGAGGATTGAGAGCCAGGACACCTGCATTTTAATCTTAGCTCTATCAGCTGCTTACAGTTTGAGGCAAGTCACCCGATACTCGGACATATTTAGGCAAAAAACTCCCAATGATTTCAGGGACCAAACTTATAAATACCTTTGATAATTGCATCCTTAGTGGTTCTGTATCTGTTTCCTAATATTTGAAGGTGGATGATGATACTCATCTGGTCAAATTATTGGAAGACATGCATCCATCTGTGGATGGTTGCTGGCCTGAAATGTGCTTTACCTACTGTTGAACAGGGACCACTTGTCCAGCAGGTGGAATCAAATCAGTATCTTTAGCTGCCTGTTCTGCCATTTGTGCTATACTTTCACTAATACTGGCTGTTGGGGTCAGACGTATACTTGTTAAAGAAATAGCAAGGAACCTTCAATACAGTAATTGCTTAGATCCTGGCTTGCACAATGAAAAGGCAGCTGGCAGCTCCCTGCCTCTCCCCCCACCTCCATCCCCACCCACTACACGCAATCAAGGCCCTTCTGCGGTGGGACATTAAACTGCCAAATATACCAGAAATGTCAAATCTGTGCTTCCTACAGCTCTAATCATATTTAAGGCCTGCTGCATCCCAACTGATGCCCACTGAGTACAGGAAGAGCTGAAATAATGCAGGCAGCAGTACTTCAGAGGCTCTTTGATGACCTAAATTAAAGTAGGGTTCTACCTGGACTTTATGATACTAAGGACTGCATTGGCACCTTGCCAGGAAACCACAGAGCCATATATTTGAAATCACCACCATTCCAGAACACTACACACGTGGTGCTGGCTATGGAACAAGTTAGAAAGGAGGAGACTGAACTAAAAACCATGCACTTATATGCAAGAACCTTCCCATAAAACCAAGGCAAGGTGCATATGCCACACTTGGGCAAGCAAAGCCTCCTACTACATTGGAAAAGTGAAGAGGAGAATCCCTGGAGA